GGCAAGTTGCTCATATTAAACAAAAATAACATCTTATATTCCGTCAACTGAGTTGTTTTTAATCACTACATATCTGTGTGACTGAACCGTCTGCATTTCATTCGAAGTAAAGCTTTAAAACGCAGTTAAAAAATAGGTACATTCAAGGCTGTGTGATATGACCTCATCTCAAAATCAAGATAAATTGGGCGGTTTTAACTCAATAACGAAAAATGCTCCGACTCCTCTACCTAAAGATAATGGCATTAGCAGGAAAAGTATTTACCAAATCACATTGCATATTACCTTTTATTGAATATTAACGTCTTACAACAGTTCAAGTTTAAACATTCAAAAATGTCTCAATAAACACGGGGAAAAAAATCTGCTCTCTTGTAAATATTTTAGCAGAAGGTAATGGAACCTTTTGCACATCTTTGAAATCAACAGGTTGGTTGTGCTGCAGGTGGTGGAAGAGGTTGAATTTTTTACTTTGCAGAATGTTCTTCATGGGGCACAATAAGTGCAGAGTGCAGAAATTCTTTCCAGGTTCAAAAAGTACTAAATAAACACTCTGAACACAATTGTTGGTTGATATTGTTGAATTTCCCTATTAACAAATGGTTTAAGGGGTCTTTTTTGTTGTTGTTCCTCAGATTTTTTTCACATATATTAACAATGATTCTGTTTCCTAAAGAAAATGTTCCAAACCAGCAAGGCCTTAGTATGTAATAAGGCCCGTTTTAAACGAACATTATTTAATTGTGGCTACTGTTTAAAATATTTGAATTAATATTCATTACTCTTAGACCTCAAACCTTCCAAACTGTTTTAATGAACTCTGCCTCAAAAACTGTGTTTACTTTGTCCCCACACCCAGAGGTGTTCAGGCTTATCTAAAAAAATAAAGTAAAATGTCTGAAGGAAAAGCTGTCTATTTGTTGCAACACGCCACTAGCAAAATGAAAACACAATCAGTGAATAACGCATCTGATGTTTGCTGCCTTCACCACTCTGAGCTACAAATAAAGCTGATTACGGTGGTCTTCTCATTTTACAAACAAGCCACCTCCACATGTTCAGCCCCCATAAACACACCCAAAAAAAACAAAAAAAAAACTTATGCTAATGTGAAGGCATTTGATTAGCAACAATTATGGCCTTGGCACTGGCTTGTACTGTATGATTACTTCTACTCAAGGCTGTTTTGTATGTGTTATATAAGTAATCACAGTCAGCTAAGCCTGGCTGTCACCTGAATTATGCAGCGTATTACATACCCTGAGATGGGTTTCAGTTCTCCTTATTTGGAAAAGATGTTGGTGATAACAATTTATAGTAGTCCATGAAAATAGAGTTTTCTGATTTGCTTAAATTCGTCATCACAAATCCTTCTCAAATTTTCTTTGATTTCATTTTCATTAATACGTAAATATTATTATTTTTTCTTTAATGAAGCTCATTCGAACCTCCTTTTTACCCCTTTTCCTTTCTCGTGAGGATACACACAAGTTTGACTTGTGTGTCTGCAGGTTCATGCGCTCTGCATTTTTATTAAAAGGGCATGCTTTGATTGGTCGCAGCTAGAACTGAGTGGAATGAGTTCTAGCCCAGCTTTACACGTGTTGATACGCTCCAATACAATAACAAAATGTCAGCAATGGCACAGATATTGAGAGACGAGCCTAACCAGCTCGAGTCTTTCGGATTTGAGCCATTCATGTTTGATTCAGAGTTGGAATCAAGAAGTGAAAAGGCAGACAGTGGAATCTGGGTCTTCCATACACTAGTGGGAAATTACTACACTTAAGCCCCGTATGTGGTAGCGGTCTTTTGCCGAAACACACCTACTCACACAGAAAAACACATAGAGCACTTTAAAAACATCAACAAAGCCAAGCAAGAAAGTTATCATTACATGATTGAAATCTGTATATCAGATCCAGATGTAATGTTAGTAACATTAGCAGCTTTTGTGGCGTTTTTTTACCTGTGATTTACACACACACACACACACACACACACACACACACACACACAGAAAAAGATGAAGCAACAACACTTACCGACTGAATCTCTGAGCAAGCAAAGTAAGAAGGTGCATGGTTTTAATTTCTTCTTTTCAAATTTTAAAAAGTGTGCTGTTAATGTATTCAGCCCTTTAAATCAAAGTTTAGCTTAAATTTTTTGGAAGACATCCTTACCTGGTTCATTGGTCTAGAAAAACTCAGCAAGACTAGTTTCTCACTCCAGTCAAATCCATGAATATGATTTATCTAAACCATTTCATTGGATGTTTGGCCATAAGATTAGGGTTGTTGTCTGGCTATGAGATGAATGTCTGTCTTAGTCTTAAATCTTTTCCAGTCTCTAAGAGTTTTTCCTCTAGGAAGTTCCTCCATCTTTCTGCCAACAGGACATTAATAGATCCATTATGTTACCAACACCAAACTCTCCATTAGGCATAATGTGTTTTACATAAACCTAGTGAGTTTCAGATGGGGCTTGTGTCCTCAAATTGATAATATGTAGGGTTAGCTGTTCTCTTCAAAGGGGCTAAATACAAATATATGCCACGTTTGCCCTGTGCTTTAACTGCAGAATAAAAAAAACTAAAAAACGTCTATAGATATTTTTAATCTTGTACTATCTGTGGGACTCTGGAACTTTCTATCAATGAACTGGTATTAGTTCTGTATCTAATCCTAAGATTTTCAGCTACAATAGTAGATTTGTATTTATCTTTTGTAAGGAAATCACTCAGCAGACAGCACAAAGTGTGAATCATTATCACAATGCATACACTTCAACTGATCACAGGTCTGACCCTTCAGTTCCTTCTGTAGCTGCTTTGACTCTTTTCAGCTGGAAGGGAGCATGCTCCTTCTCTGGAGTTTTCCAACATGTCAGCTGTTGCTGTCGCTTTGCATTATACATTTGAGCCCTCCACTCAAAGATGCCCACATGTCCTCAAGCAAGGATAGGGAGGACACTCAGAATATAGATGGGTGCTTCCTGGGTTCATTAATGTCGCCTGAGATGTCTCCTTACTTTTTCTTGCTCAGCTCTTCTGTCAGCGGAATACTGTCCAAAGAAATAGCACTGACAGGAGTAATTAGACAACAATTATAAGAGCTTGTGTCCAAGGTTTAATTTGGTCGGAAGCAACGTGTATGTTTCATCTTTTGTTAGACACTTTCTTTTGGCTCATTTTTCAATGCTTGAATAATATCTTTCCTGGATACGCCGCATTATAGCATAGCTATTATTTTGTTTTGTTTTTTTTTTTCCTTTTTTTTTTTACATTTTCTGTGTTTGATTCTGTTGTCTTGCTGCCAAACCAATAATACTCCAAGGACAATTTGAGTTGAGTTTAGTATTCGTAGTCTGTATTTGGAAAGGAAGTATTTTATTTGTAGATTAAACAATTTATGCTTTGCCAAACCATACTTTTACCTTTTGCATGTATTTATACATTCCGAGAGATGCTATGAATGCTCTAACCCTTTTGTGGAAGACTGACTTAAAATGTTGGCGATTAAATCAATTCAATTTTTTTTTTTACTGAACTTGAATGGTATCTAAAAGTAAATGAATTAAAGCAAACACGCTCAAAAAGGGTTAATGAATTTAAAGTGCAGATAACAAAGTTGACAGATAATGAGTCAGTATTCATGTCAGTGCAGCTACACAACAGAACAGCTTAATTTTTCCATAGAAGGGGAGTTTTCTCAAATCTATATTTAAAACTCTCTTCAAACTTACCAAAGATGTAAAGATTTGTTTATTTTTTACTCCAGCATTGATTAAGGCCCTATCATATGCATCTGTTAATAATGTTTTCCAGTAAGACATTTCATCAAAATGAATAGAATGCGGTGGAATTTTATAAGATTGCCATGTGAAGCGCATGTGAATTTATTTGGTATACAGTACAAAGATTTCTCAGCAGAAGCACATCAGAGGAAAGCAAATGTACTTGTATTGCACATAACCGTAATCTTTCAAAGTGCTATACATGAACAAAAAAAAAATGCATTGCAATGCATGCAAGTTTCACAGAAACAGTTTTATAAGTGTAAGGTCTTTGTTAATATTATCCAGTTTGCGATTTGGTTGTTACTTTAGAGAATCATAAAAATAGGAAAAAACAAAAGAGGAGGTCATCCAAAGCATTCTCAACTTTTATGTATTTTTTGAGGATTTTGACATGCATCAGGGAACTAAGAAACAACACTTGATACTTTTGATTGTTAGAACTCTAGAAGCATATAGAAGAAAATTTTTTAAGCAGTATGTCACTGGGATTTTTTTGGCCCAGTACAGTACGAAATAATCCCTGCAGATGTGCTGGACCTCTCCATTGTGATGAGTGCTCTATGATTAATTTACCCCAAATGAAAGGCTGTATTTTTAGCCTGGCAGTGTGGACAGCACAGAAATGCTTTTTTTTCCTCCTTTCTGTCAAAGAAGAATTGGTAACAGCAGAGAAAAGATGTGGCGCCTCAGTGATCATTTGTCACTGCCCTGTTGAGATGTGAAGGATGGAGTAATCACTAGGTTATTTCTCTCATTATTTCAACAAAGTTTAGTATTTTAAATTAAGTAGCTGACAGTTAAAATTAATTTGATACCAACAATCACCATTCTTTTTTTGTTCAAATAACCAAACGAAAAAGTTTAAACTGCCAAGTTGACACTTCTGTGGGGAATTTTCCTCAGTGCTTGTTTCATGGATGTCAGTGCCTAACAATACACACTTTCTGCCTGGAGCATGTGTTAAGTGGCAAGATTCTTGCTCCTACATCTGATGTCAAGGTTAAGGCCAAGGAGAAAATGAGAGTGGCATTTTACCAAAGATAATTCTAACAAGGAAGACTGTACTTCTAATTGCTCATTCTTCTTTTTTTCCAGTTAAGCAGTGAATATTTACTTTGTTTCACAGGGAAAGGCCGTTTCTGTCCAATGTGAGCAAAAGTATTTATTTACCAGAAATGTGCTGCTTTTGCTTGTCTCTGCAGGAACTCTTTACAGCAGAATGCAAGTTCAAAGAGTCCGTGTTTGAAAACTACTACGTGATCTACTCATCCATGCTGTATAGACAACAGGAGTCGGGGAGAGCGTGGTTTCTGGGGCTCAACAAAGAGGGCCAAGCCATGAAGGGGAACCGAGTGAAAAAAACAAAACCAGCTGCTCACTTCCTGCCCAAGCCATTAGAAGGTATGTAGGACCATGCAAATGAGTTCATGCCCTGTCAATTTAGCTACACGTTTTAAAACTTGTAGGGGGTCTAAAAATATTTAGAATGAGAAATTTCAAAAGGTGTTGCATATTTGTCTTTAGACATTAATGTCAAACTTAAGTATACACCCATTGTAATTTGAACACATCCGTATTCTGGTATAACATACTCTGGTGCATAGTTTTCACATGCTACAAGTTATCATGGTTACTTTTTCCTTCAATGCAGCTGGGGATTTTAAGACAAGGGGGTTGAGATGACAAAAAGGGGGTATCTCAAATAAAATGTTGCGAGTTATGTTTTAATAGCCAAAGCATTGTTGTTATGACTTTATAGTTTTTAATACTCATTATATTTTTCCTTATGGGCATGTATTAACAGTTTTTATGAAATGACCCTGTGTGATGCATAATATTAAAAAAATAACACAAAAAAGAACATGTCCAGGATTTTGTTTAACTCTAGAACCAATGTTTAAAACAGCTCTCCACTCACTCTGGCTGTGCTTAATCCATTTGCAAATAAAAGAAGGCTTTAATTTGCACAAGCACAGCTGGTTGAGAAAGATCTTATAAAGGCATGCAGCTGTATTTGTTATTTGTAGTGATCCAAGGGACTGAATGGAAATGCAAAACACAATCATCAGATTTTGTGCAGGTAAAATAAAAAAACTGTTTTTCTTTAAGATTATAATACTTCCTTTCATTCTCTCGCCAAAAGTCACTATAAAATACTTTGATGCTTGTGGGTGCAATGTGACAAATTTAGAGGAGTTTTTATTGCATTACCTATTAAATGCACTTCATCTCAGGCTTAAGTCGCTTGATTCTTAGAAAACCTTTTGGATTTTCAAATTTCCATTTAATATAACCTGAAAATGACCAATGCTTTTATTTACAATTATCTGCTTCAATCTCTTTTATTTGCACCTTGTATTGACAAAAAGATATCTTAGAGGTCACTGTTGCCGCAAGGTTTGAACATTATGCAATTAAATGTGTAGTAAGGTACATTTCAATGCTTTGTTGCTACTAAGCATAGAATACTGAAAATGCTGAGCATCAAAACATTTATGACCCTTGTGATATACAGAGACAGCTGTCGCACACAATAAGACTTTATGCAATACTTACCATAGGTACATCCACTATAAACCAAATGACTGCATTTGACATATATTTGTATCTGTGAGCTGATTTACTGCACTGCTGCAGGAGGCACATGCTATAGGAGGCAGAAACAGCTCTGAGAGTGCTGCATGAAATGTTGATAGTCCTGCAGATGCCACCATCACTCTCATCAGCCATCGGCCCTGATTGCTGCCCATCATTCAAAACACAGAATCAAACTGAAGTGCCTTGTCTAAATAGTAATACAGCTGTGGTGTGCAAGCTGTAAAAAGGAAGGTGATAAGATGCAAAAGGATGTACTTGGATATAAAAATCAGCAGGGAATAAATGAGTTGAATAAAAGCAAAAAACCCTTGTTTTATTGTATTGCATGTGTTAGCTTTCAGCATAAGGATATTGCAACTTAAAATGCAGGTCTTTCAAAAGTTTTTGATATATAATTAATATTTTTCTCAATTCAAGAGACAGAGAATACAGGTTAACAGGTTCTACTCTATCTCTCTCTTTGCTTCCTTGATGTCTTCTCCTCCAGTTGCCATGTACAGAGAGCCATCGCTGCACGACGTCGGAGAGACGGTGCCCAAGGTGGCCGTGCCTCCTAGTAAAAGCACAAGTGAACCAGTGGTGATGAACGGAGGCAAACCTGTCAGCAAGCCCGACAAACCGGCCACATAGCCACACTTGACCAGTGTCCGGCGTGAGTGCATGTGCAGGAGGGGAGGAATGTAATGGAGGCAGGTCTTTTTTTTTTTTTTTCTCCAGCTAGACTCCAAACCCTCCTTTTTTCCTGTGGATAACATCCAGCTGAGACTCCTTTCTTTTATTATCTTGCTCCTCCTCCTCCTCCCTTTCTCTGGCTATGTTGGCACAGACTGAATCTGGGATGGCTCAGTTTATCCAGCACAGGAGGAAAGAGGACTTCTGATCCTGTAATGCCTTTAGATCTCTTTAAAATTGTGAGAATTGAACTGAATGGCACGGGGTTCACACTGACACTTGATCCTATCTTTGTTGGAAGAACCTCCCTCTCTATAATGCCCTGTCGCAGCAGAGTCTAAGTACCTTCAGATCTATTTTCTATATCACAGTTCACCAGCTATGTTCTGGTATAGAGACTGTATAGACAGAGTTAATATTTGGACTGTTGTCCTATATTTTTTACAAGTATGTCCCCGTTTCCTTCTCTTTCTAATGCTGGTCACATACTTAAATATTTTGTCAAAAGAAAACTAGAACATTTTTTGGAAGGGTAGTTGTATGATTTTTTTTCTAAGAAACACAGCAAACACAAAGTGAACTAGTTCACACTTGAAAGAGTCCAAATAAACCTTTTTTTTTTGTCTACAACATGCGTATACCTTAAAAGCAGTTCAAGAAAGTTTGAACAGCTTCTTTGTGGCGCATAAAAACACATTGGAGGCTGGCAGACAGCTTCTGTAATCATGGTTGATGAAGTGCTAATTACCGCCGCTGCAATCAATGTGAGGAGCTCCCTGAACACACACACACACACAAACACATACACCAACAAAAACATTTCTAAACAGATGTGCGTGTGGGTGGGTGGGAGAGCGCTGTAAGGAAATGGTGTATACATATCACTATCTGTGTCCCACCAGCGGTTTAGCCCGCCTTCTCTGGTGAATCAAGAAAAAGGGGGGAAAATAAAACCTGAAGTCTATTTTTCTTTAATCTTATTTCAGAGCGTGGGCTCTAGGAAATATCTCTAGGCCTTGTAGGCCTCTGTTCCTCACTCACCGACTTCTTTGGACATTGAAGCAAGGCTTTGTGGCTTCGACCCAGATGGTCTTTAACTGCAGCAAATGGCAGCCATCTTATGGCAGCGTCTACTTAAAGCAAACAAAACAACATGGCTGAAATCCAATAGGTGTTATTTATATGTGCTGCATCCCTATTTGGTTCACCAATCTAAAGCATGGACAAGGTTACTATTGTTCCCATTTTGCAGCAGTTATACAACAGAAGGCTTATAATGTATCTGTGGCTCTGTATAAAACCTAGGGAAAATGACTTATAAAAATCATAACTTTTTAAAGGACTAAATTATATATTATTATTATTATTATTGTAAAAGGATTTGTCTCCTAGCTCAGCATGCAGAGTCCAGTACTGATCATCTCGGCCTATCACGTGCCTGTTTGACCTTGATTCCCGGCATGCAAAAACAAGATCCCAGTACCCACTGGGCCAAAGGTGCCTCACTCACCCCATAGATCCATGTAAAGGGATGCGTAGCATTATCCATTGAAAAAACAACACTCAGATATGGTCATTCTGAAAAAAACCAAAGCACTTTTTTTCATCCCCAGAAAAACTTAGTCTCGATGATTACAAATCGAAAAAACTAAATAAATCTGACCCGTTCTCAGATTTACCGTAATCCATCAAAGCTTTCACTGTGACAGCATTCGTTACTCGTTTGAAAGAATCAACTGTCCTCAGACCCCAGGTGGTCTTGGCTGATGTCACTTTTTCGAGACGGATGTGCGTATAACCTAAATGAATCACATGCATGTATTTTCTACTAGGAACAAGGTAGGGGCATTGTTCCTCCCTCTCTACGAGCAGGGGGGGGCACTAAAAGGAGCTTGAATGGGCATGTTGCAGGCTTTAGCACGCTGATGACTAATCTGAAGGTAATCCACTGCACTTTGATTTGCATTTTCATAATGACTGTTAGTGGATTTGTTTATTTGAATTCTTTAGTCTTGCTTTACTCATTTTTTTTTATAGAATTTAACATGGTAAGAATTTGGATAGAAGTAGATAGTTTACTGCTGTATGCTGCTAAAAAGTGCAACTTCATTACAGAATTGTTATGGTTAACATACTAATCTGTTTTTATTTGGGTTATACATATTCAGTTTGTGATGACTAAAGCACATTATATATGGTTTAGACACAGTTATTTATTAGTAATAAGCAGTTGATAAAATAACGAATGGTAGGCTTACACACACCTACACGCACAGGAGCTGCAAACCACTTAAGATGTGTGCAGGGCAAGGGCAGGTTTTGCCCTTTTTACACCCTGTCATCCTCTAGTTCCACAAACTCTACATGCTGGGCTGGTTATATGCTCTGGCCATGCGATCCAGAAAACTGGTTCTTTCAAGGCTGAAATAACGCTTCATAAGGACTAGTGTGTACATGTACATCTCTGTTGTTTTTTTGGTTTTTTTCCCTTGTTTTTTGTCTCTTGTGTATAAATTGTTTGTGCCGTTGCTTCCAGATCCCAACTGGTTTTGCTTTGTTATCCCCGTATTCAATTTATTTAAGATGAATATCCTTGAAATTCTATTTGCAATCAGAGCATATTCAAACCCTCTAAAAGTGATTGCACTAATATAGGTGAATAATGTACATTAAACCGAAATATTTATTAAGTTGTGTTATGTTGATGACAGAAGACAGAAGCCTGTTCCTGTGCACATCAGACATTTTACTGGTCCAGATGGTTTCATCTGTCCACTGAGGTCCAAACATGGTCCTCTTATCCAATTTTCCCCCATCGTATTCCAAATGATTAAAGATGATTGTTTTGATCCAGAAGTCTTTGTTTATTATGTTCTTTTCCTATAAGTTTCATAAAAGCATTTGTCGCATCTTTTAAAAGATAGATGTCTTGAGTTCAAACAGACATTATCTTTCAGTAGTTGTCCTGACTAAATTGGTTTGTTTTCTAATGTTTGGCTAGCTCTACCACAGAAATGGTAGAAAGCCAAACATTAGAATGGCATCACACAGAAGCAAATAAAACTCCAGGACCCCAGGACCCTCAGGTGTGATAAAATAATCCCCTCTTCCAGTTTATATAGAAGCCCCTTTGTCTTTCCTATGATTGTAACTCATCATGCATACTTTCATCCGGTTGATATATGCATCATTACTGAAGCAAATGGAGGATCATTATAGAGTTCTTAATTATGTTAAAAAGGCTTAATGACTTTTCAACTCCACTTTAGGCCGTAAAAGCTCACACAACTCATGTACAACAAGATGCATCCTGCTTTTTAGGAAAACTCGGATAAATTCCTAAAATCTAAGAGGGTTTGAATAAATCAAATTGCAACTGTAACTTTTTCTTGCTTTGTAACCTTTTGTTTTGTATAATGTCCCATCTGTTGCATGGGGAGAGGATGGCATTGATGAACTGCATGTAGTAGGCTATGTCTATTAAGAACCGTTGGTATGTGCCGCAAATTTTACATAATATATGCAATGAGTTTGTCTACACTATACAGTTTGTGTTTGTTGTATACACTTATACAACATGCTAAATAAGATATTTATATAAATGCGTACTGTAATGTCAGTAACTTAATACCTAATGCAATATAGTGTGCAGTATATTATTGCACTTGTCATTTTTGAGAGGACAAAGAAAACAGAAAGGGTTGACTAGTTTACGCATGAAAAAAGGCCAAAGTAGAAATAAAACCTTTTCTTGGCGACCTCTTATTGGTCACATTTCAAGTGCTGACTGAACTCTTTTTGTCGATGCATCTCCCATCCCCTTTCACTATATTTTGAAGTGACATGAACCATCCAGCATGCCACAAACTGAAATATTTATGCGCTCCTCTTTGTTTTCTCCACTTTAACCTTCTCACTGCAAGGAGAGTGGGAAATGACATGATGGGCAGCTTGTTTTGGGTTGATTTCTTGGGATATAGAGGAACAAACACTGTTAGAATGATTTGTTTTTTCAAAAAAATATAAATATATAATATACCATTGCAAGTATGCTCATTGGAGTTTTGTCATGTAATATCAAAATTTGTAACCATGTATGATTAAGGTCTTCGCATTGTTTTCCATGCAAAATGTTGTGTCATGTGGCACATTTAATGTTTTATTATGAAAAAAGAAATAAAAAAAAATTTAAAGAGTAATTTCCAAGCATTCAAAACATTTTTCAGTTGAAATTAAAAAGGGAAGTTAAGTGCAATACATGAAATTCTCTCTGCAGCATTTGGATTTTCAATATACCTACCGGTATATAGTATTCCAAAGAGTCTTGCAAATGTTTATGTTGCATTCTCATTTAACTTCTTTTACATGTTTTCTCATTAAAACTACATTTAAATGTGTTTTCTTTTGATTTTGTTTGATTGAAGAACTCAAGTAACACATATTTGTGAAGTGGAAGGATAAATAGTTTCCAGAAATGTAATGTTTGCTTATGCATTTAGAGCTTTTTCTCTAAAATGAATTTAAGTAAAACCAAATGCCTTCTGAATTCTTTAAACTAATGAAATTAGTCCATCGATTTCTTTAAATCTCAGTATAAGTACAGTTATCCTTCAAGTCTCAGAGGTCTGTTATATAACATTGGAGAAAAACAGCATCCTATATACCAAGGTTCACAGCAGGTAGGTTACTGACAGCAATCATGGTTAAATATGGTTCATTAAAGGGTTTTTACAATTTTAAAGAACAACCTCTCAATCATATTAATGATAATCAGCTTTATTGGTCTCTGCAAATGTACATTACAAAGAGGTTTCGCCTCTGGATTTAACCCATCCCTTAGGGGAAGGAGCCTTGGGACAAAGGGTCTTATTGAGGGGCCCAGGGTTGAAGTTGTCATTGCAGTCTTCTTAGAACCCTAAGTGCTTTGCTCTAACCACTAGTCCACCATGCCGAGTAATCATCCTAATTATCAAAACAGTTTGCAACAACTTCAAACCAGCCAAGACATGTTCATTTACTTAAACAGGTAGGTCAAAAAAGCAGAGCATCAATCAGTAAAGCAGGTAAAAGCTCATGATTATGTTGGGTCAAATTTGGCTGTTATTGAAGAGTAGCACAAAGACAACCAATGATAAGAAAAGATGATAAGAAAACCTTTTTTATAGTTTGCCAAAAGCTGCTTAGTGGGCAAAGAAAAAAAAAGGGCTTTATTGTTCTGTATAGAATATCTAAAATAGATCTGCAGCCAAAAAAAAAAAAATAAGCAAAGAGGGGCTGAATACAAAAACATGCTAGACATGCTGGACCAGATGTGTGCTTGAAAAAAAAAAAAGTAATACCATGTAGCGTTTTTCTTTCCCCTACACCATTACAAAACAGAATAAAGATGGAGGGTGACCATTTTTTTTTTAATTCAATTTATTATTTCCTATTGATGTTTGGACACCTATCCAGGGATCTTTGTCAAAATCTGATTGCCTTCGAATTTAAACCTGTTTGGCCATGACCCGAATGACTGAGGATTTACAAAAGCCCTACACCATTATACAGACATTGCATTAGTCTATCCCAGGCATCCCCAAACTCGGTCCTCAAGGCCCCCTGTCCTGCAGGTTTTAGAGGTTTCCTTGCTCCAGCACAGCTGATTTTAATTGAAAGCTGATTTTGGTCTTCTGCAATCGTTATAATCAGCTGTGCTGAAGCAGAGAAACCTCTAAAACCTGCAGGACAGGGGGCCTTGAGGACCGAGTTTGGGGATGCCTGGATCCCATTCTGTATAATCCCAATAAATGCTGTGATAAAATTATAATGTTCAAGGATATAAATACTTTGGTAACCACGTAACTTTACCTAAAATATTAAAAAAGAGGTGCTGAAAACTGGAAAATGTTGGCTGTTTCTTCGAAAACATCACTTTACAGTCTTAATGAGCATATTTTGTAACCAGTACAATAAAAGATTGAGCAAAATTAGGATATTATATTAGTGGTATGCAGATTTACATCTTTAAGTTTTCTCTCGCTGCGCTCTTGTCCTGACCAGTGGTGGTCCTCCTGGTGTTTTGGGGCATTGGGAGGCTTTTGTTTTAATGTTCTCTTCAGTATTCTTCTCCCACCCAGATTTCACAGGCGTTCCCTGTCCATCCTTCCCAGCAATCGCAGCTTCCGCAATTGCAAACACCGTTTCCTGTGAGAGGATGTAAGAAAAAAGCTGTAAAGTAACACAGACAAGCCATGATGCCTGAACTTAAAGGTGAACTGAGCAAGTTTGACAGTTTTTTTCTTTCCCATACATGCTGCTACATTTGCCAAAATTAGCTTTATTCTATTTACCATGGTTGCCTCTATTGGCTCCAATAGTTGTTTCATGAGAGAGTGGGTGTGACTCGCTGCATGCTGTCGTTTACCTGGCTGCCAAGTTGGGTATCCTCAAGAGAACATGCAACACTTTTTGAAGATGGATGACAAAGGCCAGCTACAAGTGGACTTTAAACCACTTCACAGACCCCAAACAAGGGTGACAATAAAAACTTTTGTCAAGGGCGATAAAAAGGGCTAAAGTGGAGTCCGATCGGGACCGAAATAAGAAGGGAATAAATATTGGGGAAACATTCATCAAGGAGGGAGATCAGATCTGCCCTGGAAAATAAAAAGGACACAGTTGGCCATGATTTTGCTAAAAATGTAAGATGCTCCATTTAAAATAACTTAAGTATTTATAAAGCTTCTGCTTTTTTTTCATCCATGTGCACAACACTGGTATCATTTCTACGACGGAGTATTAGGGCCAAACATGAAGAGAAAAAATATTTTTGCCATGACGAGATTAAACTCGACACGTCGACTTTAAAGTCGACATGTCGACATTAAACTCAACATTTCGAGAATAAAGTTGAAATATCATGTTGAGTTCAATCTCGACGTGTCGACTTTAAACTCGCCCTGTCGACTTTAAACTCGCCATTTCGAGAATAAAGTTGATATATCGTGGCGACTTTAATCTCGACATTCCAAAGTTTGGAAAAAAGAGTAACCGCGCTCCACAGCTGCAGTCTGCGTTTTAAGAGTGAAGGTAGTCTTTGACATGCTGCAACTGTATAATCATCACAGGAAGCGGTGGCCTACCAAGAATAACGTAACATCTTTCCCTATGCTTACCCAGGCTCGCAGTTCTGAATTTGAGAACATGTCAGTCATTTCAACTTTATTCTCGAAATGGCGAGTTTAAAGTCGACAGGGCGACTTTAAAGTCGACATGTCGATTTTAATCTCGTCATGGCAAAAATATTTTTTCTCTTCATGTGTGGCCCTAATACTCCGTCGTACATTTCATCTTCTTACTAGAGGAGATGAACTTCTGCAAAAAAATCTGGAACTTGCGTAAGGCTCCTTTAAACATGAGATACCTCTTTTCAGACAAGGTTTTCATGGGTGAAGGAAGAACAATTTTTCTGATCTGGACAGATTCATGTTCTCTTGTCTTTACTCAGGATTTAAATCAATGAACTATTTGAGAAATTCTACACAAATCTACTGGATGTTTTTCTAATGATATGATCATATCAGCTGCTCAGGTCAACTTAATGAAAACTTTTATATTTAGAACACAGGTTTTGGCCCTGATGCGTAAAAATAAAAGAAATAAAATCTGGATTTATCCATTTCATTCATCCATTGCGCTTTATCCCAGCTGGGGTTGCGAGGGGTGCTGGTTCCTACCTCCAGCTGTCAATTGGCAAGAGGCGGGGTACATCCTGGAGTAAGTATGTTTTTTATTACCTAAATCTTTATGTTTGCATTTCCTTTAAAATTTATGATTACATAAGAGCAGGTCTCGCATTTCTGGAGGCAGACATCTTGGCGCTATGGCAACCCAGACCTGACAAACTAGTGACTGTAGAGATTGTCATTACACTCAAATGTGACAAAGGCAAGTTAGGCCTATATAAAATCTATATCCATATTTATAAAATGATCTATGTAAACATATCTTGTTATCACTTGACAAGTTAGGTGAAGCTGACATTTTTTTACCATGACTGTCTCCATATTGTTTGAGGAAGGGAATTAGTGAAGGGAGCAGATGCAGTCTGACCACTAGATGTCGCTCGAAATTATACACTATAGCTTTAAATAATTTCATACATCTATCTGTCTGTTCATCTCTAAATTTGACAGGTGAAGATAAAAACGACAAAAAAGAAAAAAACATCCACATTTAATCAAACTTTTGTTACGCTTGTCAAACTTACACATCAATGTTGTGTTGAGGGTTGCAACAAAAATGATTTGGATCAGATTTTGTCATAGGAAGAAATAGCAGCTTGTAATTTTCTTTAAAATATGGAAAGTCTGATTGGAGTTATTTGTTAAAGCATTGCTATCTCAATAGAAATGACTCACTGTTCGAGATCGATGCTTTCTTGCAGCATTTATAGGATTAATGTAGTCCTAGCAAAAATATCTAGGTCCAAACTTAGAGTAGTATTGTTAGGTAACTGCAGATTAAATTATTAAAGTGCATTAGTCCTTACAATGCTGTAAATTAAAATGCCACATACCAGGCAGAAATTACCAAATTCCAGAAATTATTACATTAAAGTGAGTAAAATTTACCTGTTAACATTGCTAATAGGTTGAAATTTCCAGCTATCTCAGTATGTTTAAATAAAATCAGCAGCTTTAGAGAATCCATAACATTTCCGGATGCCATTTAATTTCTTTAAAAAAAAAACATGCCAGAGAAATGTTTTCAAAACTCTATCACCAAATGGCACTATGTGATTGGCGGAGGTTGTAACTTTTTTTCATTTTAAATAATCAATGTTCTTCCATTAATTCAGCTTTCATGCAAAACACCATTCTATTCAAATTGTCACAATTTTCATGGTATTTTTTCCATTCATTCTGAAGTCAGTATTGAATGTAAGAACACATGCTTACCGTATATCAATTTTCCTTATTTGCTCGCCGTTTTTAAGGATGTTGAAGGACCATTGATTTCTAAACTCTACCACATTGAGAAGGAATTAAATTACAATAAGTTGTTAAAGTAAGATTGCAGTCTATTGTAGAAAATGAGTAAAACTTGAAAGAAATTAACTTTGACAAAAATACTACCTAGAAAGAAAATTGCCTTATTTAGAGAATTATGTCCATACAAATCAATTTTCAACCCTTAAAATATACTTTTCGGCAAAGAAAAAAAAAACCTGATGATGGAAAAATATGTAACATAAACATTTTATAACACAAAGTTAAACTGTGCAATGCAATATTATATTCAAATGCAATAAAGTAGTCAAACCCTTTGTGGGACAGAATGAGTAAATCACTGAAGCAAACATTTTTACTGGATTTATTATGAATGCCTTATCAAACAAAAGAGATCCAGTTAATTTTGGCTTGACTAAAAAAACTTTACACGTATTTGGTCTATCATTTTCAACTCACTTTTACATTCACTATATTTAGCAACTATATTTCATTGTGTAAATCAGATAAAGGTAACAACCTAACTTTAAGTGCAAAGCTTTTAATTCCTCATAATTTTGACTAATTAAATATAAAAAGTCACAATCTGAATCAGCCACTTGTGCTGGAGAAAATTGTTATTCTCTTGAATCGTTAATGCGTTAATGGGGTGAAAAAGCAGTCAAAGGGCCACTAATGGCCCCTGAGTCGCACTCTGGAATCTCCTTAAAAGCACCTTCAAGTTTTCAAAGAAAATATGAGAATTTAAAAAATACAATACATTTTAAATGTTAGAAGTTTGTGTTAAGCGGGAAATACTTTGTTCTTCTTTTAGATAAATCAGTATCTCAATTATAATTCAGTTTTAGCTCTTAAAACTTTAACAGATCAATTCTTTTTTTCATAATTCCGCCAAAAAGCATATCTGGCATTTTATTGTCTGCTGCGTTGCTGTTGCCTTCCTCAAAAACACATAACCTTGAACACCTAATGCCAATATAGAGATGTCAGTTAACCCAACAGTCATGTTTTTAGACTGTGGGAGGAAGCCGGAGTACCCGGTGAGAACCCACACATGCACAGAGAGAACTTGCAAACCCCATGCAGAAAGACCACAGGCTGGGAATAGAACCTGGAACCTTCTAGCTGTAAGGCAACAGGGCTACAACCTGCACCATCATGCGGCCCAGTTAGTAAACAAAGAAATGAAATAGTTAACTCATTGCATATCAGTAAATCTTAATTACTTTATACCAAATTAATCAAAGGGATGATTCTCTTTGATACATCCCTGAAATTAATCGATGCACAGTTTTCTTTTGGAGCAAGTTAAAGTGATTAACTCCTGTATTAGGAGAAAAAATGCAATCAGTAATTAGCAATCGTAAAAGTGTGTTGTCTTCTTGATAATGTTAATAAATGTAATACATTGTAACTTTTGATAAACACTTTTATTAATCTTTCATATTCTGATCTACAATAATATGACATTTTCCATCTCCGTTTGAAGGTATTTCTGCAGGCCTAATAATCATTTTCATAGAAGGAGCGGGCCCTTCCAAAACACGATCAGCAACACCTAAAAATTGCATCAGGCGGATATAAAAATATTATTGTTTAAATGTTTGTATGTGTAACACATGGAATGCAATTTATTTTGGTTTTCTGATTCTCTGAGCTGGAAAAAAAGCTCCAAGTTGAGAAGGTGAGCAGAGTACCTAAAGCAACACTGATTAAATAATCATCATACAATTCAAATCTAAACAAACAATTTTAAGACTCATTTTAGACCACCCTGAGATGGAAACTGAATTGTGTGTCGTCCTTTCTAAAACATCTGAATAGACTTGATAAAGACTTTATGGCCAATTGTAGTAAATATTTGCTTCTTCTTATCTAGCTATGAAAGGAAGGAAACCCCACTGTGAGGTGTTTGTTGCTGTCCTCTCCCTCAGTATGTTCTGTTACAGCTTCACTACACTTTGTGTCATTACCTGTGCAGATGAGGCTATCATGCTTGTCACACTCTCGGTCATCACACTCGCAGTATTCTCCTGACACCCACCATTCTTGGGGAGAGCAAATGCACTGGCCGCAGTGACAGGAACCTGTAACACGCATTTACACATACAGCCACAATTTTAAATATCAACACATATTTTAAAAGCTTGGTATTTTCTTTTATTTTTTATATATATATGCACTTGGCTAGTTTTTTTTTTTTTTATAAAAGCTGTTATGTTTACTCTTCTGTGATTTATTTATTTATTTTATCAGTTTTAAGGAAGATTAATGGAGTTGGTTAGAGTGGACAGAGATATCCCCTGAGGAAAGAGCTACTAATACAGTTTTACCACCAGGATACCAATCCACCCACACTTTACACTTCCTCTCCATTCAATCAGTTTACATTTCTTTTCTCTCTAGGGTTGCTACAGAATAATAACGTTTTACGAATTGGAAGGGAGAAACAAATCAGGCTATAAGCTTTCTTTCTTATACCCTGGGGTTCAGCTGCTATTTTTTTTTTTTTCATTCACCGCAGTTTTTACTCTAAAGGGCTACAGCAGGCCACAGCAAAAAATGTAAGGCAGCTGGAGGGAGGAGAGGAAGTTAAAGTAAAATGGCAAAGGTAGAGGCTGGTCATGAAAAGAAGATAGATCTGCCTTTTCCAGCCCTGCTTGCTTAAGGCTTGACTTTCTTTGGCAGTTGTATTCCTCCGGATCCACTTCATCAAACTAGGTTATGTGGTGTAGTTTTTTGGTAGCTTAATGATGCAAAATAAAATGCATTACGAGTTTAAAGGACTTTAATTCAGAAGACAGCCTGATGACACAAATGAGAAATATAATGGTGGCAATATAATGCTCAGGGAATATGATACAAGGACAGAAGGGTTGGTTAAAGCGGATGGACTGATGGTTGGAGTCACATTCAAAGCTATAATAACAATAATAATAATAATACAACGTACTACAGGCACCATGTGTAAATACATCCTCAGCTTTTATATTTGAACAAAGACTGGCATGTTAAGTTATTCATACACTTTGCAAACTATCATAGTATGTTTTTTATACTATTAAAAATAATCCATGCTTTTCAAAAGCATTAAATAACCATCTCTTCTAAAACTTGTCCATGAAAACATAGTAGGGAAATGGTATACTTTGTTTTATTGTAGAAGTTTTCTACACTTTTTTTGCAAATTAACCTTTAGGGAGAAACTAAGCATTTGTAAGTTGAACTACACGGTGCAGTCATACATAATGAACCATCTGGTGAAAAGAAATCAATATCATCATCCAGTCTTATAAAATCCTTCACAAATACGGCATTGTGCAATTTACACACAAGCTGCAAAGCAATTTGTGGAATGCAGGGGGGGAATGCACAGTGGCACAGTTAGTCACACTGTTTTGTTCCACAAAGAATATCATGGATTCAAATCATAATTCAAGTCGCCCTGTGACTGGTGACCTGTCAATTGAGTAACCGTTGACATAAAACATAAATATATTAAATATATATCCCCACTAACCCTCAATAATGTTGTGGTAGTAGTTGGGTATTGAAAAAAAATTTGTCATAAATATGGTGCTGTTTGTTTATTTTAATTTCAAAACTCCTAAAAAACTACAGTAATAATTTACTTATTAACATATTTTAGCAAGTTATGTCCCTCAGAATGTTACCTCTTAACATTAAATTATATATATTTTTTTTTTTTTGCTTAAACCTTGACAGAAAAATACTAATCGAAAGAATTTGAAGGAAATAAAAAATTTTGTTCACCTTTTCCACTGCAAATGACTCCATGCTCCGTCTCACAAAGCTCCTTGCTCTGAGCGTCACTCATGTCGCAGGACCTGGGGAACTGGCACAGCTTCCCAAACCAGCCCTTTTCACAGATGCACCGTCCACATGAGCAGTAACCATGACCTGGCAGAGGAGGACAGAGAGCCTTTATTTAAAAGAGTTATAATATGGTTCCAAACCATGGGATAACCCATGGTTTATCTTGGGGTAGCCCAAGATAAATGCAATACCTCTGGTTAAGGGCAGAGAAATGTAAAGCTAAAATATACAAAGAGCTGACAGCACTAACATTGAACCTTGACACTAATAGGCAAAGCAGGAAGGAAGAGCTGCAGGGAGATGAGAGAGATGGAGAGAGCTTATTGTATTTCCCCTAAGGACATGTAAGGAACTGTCATCACCAGTCTTGTGCTGTCCTTAATAAATCTACTGCTTCAGACAGCTGGAAAACAAAGAATCATAATAGGAAGCCAAAGAAAAAGAGATTGAGGGAGTTTCATTGGGTTGAGAGAAGCGGTTGTTTACCGCTATGCCATAATCACTATTAGCATTTGTACAGTTTTCACAACCACTATAAAAACGTATGCCTCCTTCATGTCACAGCAGACTGTGGTATGACTCACTGGAAATTGTATCAAGATAATGCATTTGCTGTTGGAATAATTGGATTACAAAATAGCAACTAAGAATGGATCTCCGATACGATACCAATATTCCAGCTTTGAGAGTTGGCCAATATGGATACTGACTAGGGCTGGGCGATATAGAAAAAAAGCTTATCGATAAAAAAAAATGCATATTGATCGATATCGATAATTATTGAAAAGATTTGAAACCATCTATTGCGCCACACGTCTATCGATCGATATATATCGTTATTGAATTATCGCCCAGCCCTAATACTGACTCGATACGATATTAGCACAAATCAGACTTAGTTTACTCCCCATTTCCTACTATTGTATGTAAGAAAAGGCTTGATCCTGTGATTTTACTAAAACAGAGAACAAAAGTAAACACCAAAAGGTATGATCCATGTAATATCAACCAAGTTGCAGAAACTTTACACAGTAGCAGAGTGTTTGTATAAGCATTAAAATACTGATGTTAGATGCTGCATAATATTACCTCATAGCAGATTTTTCGCTAATACCGAACTGATATATTGATATCGGATCGGGACACCCCTAGTAGCCAAACCTACTCTGTTTATTGTTTTACTTAAAAAATTAGTAATGTATTAAGAACTTGTATTTAATAGTGTGGAACATTCTAAGTTTATTTTGGTTAGCATTTGAAGGCAAATAAAAAGTATTCCCTGTGCACTGCATATTGTAAGGTAGCGAAAAGTCAAACACTATAAAGGTCTATGAGAGACATTGTGGCATTTTATGGCATCTAAACAGACAAATAGAATGGGAAATTCTCCATGCTTTCATAAGATAAACAAATGGGTCATTTTATAAGCAATGGGCACCAAGCCAACACAGTGTTTTGTGTTTTTTTAGTGTAAGTATTACAAGGAACATATGTTAAAGATGGCTATCAGTCTCTATCACCAAGTCACTGACAACTCAAGTTTTCATCTTAGATTGATACCTTTACTCAGGCCAAAAACTATTTCTCAAAAACTAGTAAATTTACTGAATTTTCTGTGTTCACAAAACATAGATTTATCATAGCTAATAGCTCATTTTGCAATTTTAAGAGTTAAACATAGTTTACATGGTTTTAGCAAACAATTTAATCATAATTAGTGATAGGAACGTTTTGAATCCTTACTTAAAATGTCAAGGGGTGCATTTCCTTTTCAACAATTGAGCCATTCTAAATAGCAGAACACTAAAAAACTACAGGGGGAGTCAAAAGAATCATAACAGATATAGTTCATACTAAAAAATGCTCAAAACTTAGTCACTGCTTATCTTGCTTTGCTCTTTTTCTCTCTAAAGTTGTTATCACTGCCACAACCTTTTTACATCTCTCTCTTTTTTTTTATTCTTTATTTCGAACATGCAAGAGAAAAACAAAAAACAATAAAATAATGTTTAAAAACATTGGAGAGAAAAACAACAAACAAGGTACCCTTCTTTCCTAAATGAATATACCTCTATTACATGTGCGAAAAGGAGTAGGAAGAAGTAAAACTTATGTACTCCTACCCCTTTAACTCTTGTATTTCTTTAATTTACAATATTTATAATTATGTTGCTATATATATCCATATAAATACATACCTACCTACCCATATACATACATAAATATGTATACACATATACCGTCATACATATACACTGTATACAAATTAACAAAACAAAAAACACAAACAAAACTTTCTACAATGCTTCTCTATACCTTTTGAAAATAATTTCTTTGGACATTTTTTTGAAAAGGAATATGTTTGGGCATTGCTTTAGGTTCTCATTTAGTTTGTTCCACAATTTAACTCCGCAAATTGATAAACAGAATCTTTTTCTTGTTGTTCTACATCTATTACAGTAGTCTTAAAATTTCCCCTTCCCCTTAAATCGTACCCTCCTTCCCTTTCAGAGAACATCTTTTGGATATTCCCAGGCAATAGGCTATGTCTTACTTTGAACATGAATACTGCAATTTGGTATTCTATTAAATCATGGTATTTTAGTAATTAAAATTTTAGAAATATTTATAAACAATAAATAAAATAAACAAAATAAACAATTCTTTCATCTAGAAAGTACCAATGGATCAGGGCTGCTCTGTTTTAGTTGTGTCTGTGCTCTTTTTTTCTCAAACCCCTGGTTGGTCGTTGCAGATGATGGCTCACACTGAGCTTGTTTCGCCTGAAGCTTTTTGCTGTAAAAAAAGATTTGTTTCTTCTGACTGTCACTAGATCGACTCTCAATATGGGGGATTGCTGCAAAGCAGACAGATAGATGCACGCAACTGTCAACTGTTGCTACATGGACTCCCAAGAGGAGTAAATTCTGAAAGTCATTCACTTAGGTCAATTGGTTGGGTTTCCTTAGATAAAACAAACTTTGGCCCAATTTAAATAATGAATTTAACGCAATTTAATGCGTATAACTGACCTGGAATCTGCCTTTAGAATTGGACTGAAATATCTTTTTCTGTAACATGCCTTGAGGTGACTTGGTGTCATTTGTCATTTTATAAATAACCTGAACTGAACTGATTGACAATTGCCTGGATAAAGTGTGGTAAAAAACTGAGAAGACAAAAAAAAAGGGAAATTAATTAGATTGAAGCTGGTTTGCTGGCTTTAGTTGTTAGCCTTAGTAATTATAATGTGCCGGACAACCGACTTTTTACAAATTCAGATTCTGTAGAAATGTCAACCAATTAACAAACGTTTCCCTGAGAAATAACATTCAGATGGAGCCAAATTTAAACAAGGCTTTGAGGGGTTTGGAATATGGGCTCAAGCTGCAAGGGGTTCAGCTGTGTATGCTTGAGCCGAGATATAAATATGTCGACCTAGAAGCCATGATGGATGATAACATAGCTAATGCAGAGATTGATGTGAATGGAGATAAGCTTAGGTATTGAAACTTTTATGAATCTGATTGTATTCTTGATTAAAAATATCTGTTCTTCACGTTTATCAATTGTTAAATTTTTTTTTTTAAGGTATCATCTTATCTATCTTTTTAACATGCTGGTACTGCAGTGAATCCCATGTGATACACACTAAACATTCTATAAAATGCATAAGCAAGATGGGGGTCCTAATTTTGTGACATAAGTAAAACCTAATTTAGAGATGTTTAATATGGAACCTCTTCTTCGTGACTCAAAATTAAAAAAAAGAAATTAAAGAGGAGACTCCAAAAATATATTGTATAAATGGAACAATAACACAGTTTTTGTTCTTTAAATGAAAAAATCATGTCAGATTATATTTGTAATATGGTTACAATAATTATATTTGAAAAAAATCAACAATTCTAATATAGTATTCTAATAATAATGATACATTGCATTCAATAGAAATGTTCATTTGTATATCATAAATCAAAGATCAAGCAATTCTTCTAACACTTCATGCTAACAGAAACATTTCTTTCTGCTTCAGTGCATGCAAATTCTTTTTTGACAACTATTTCTTAAAACATGGGCTGTCAAGTTTCAATGATACATGTCAGAGAGTAATTCAAATCAATTCAATTCAGTTTATTTATATAGCGCCAATTAACAACACAAGTCATCTCAAGGAACTTTACAGTTCAACCAGATCATACAGTCAAATTGATTCAAAGTCTATCTAAGGAAAACCAGTTGATTGCATCGACTCATTGACTCAAATGCAATCCCTCACACTAAGCATGCTTGTAGTGACAGTGGAGAGGAAAAACTCCCTTTTAACAGGAAGAAACCTCCAGTAGAACCAGGATCAGTGTGAGCGGCCATCTATAATTGAAAATAATTATTCTTTTTGGCCAGGACAGCAACATAAAAGATCCATGCTAATCAGCAAACAAGTTGAAACAGACAAAATGAAATTAAATAGGTTAAAAAAAAGTAGGATTTCCCATCAAAACATTATCTCCTCCAGCAACCAGGTTACAGAAGATTTAAGACTGAAAAGGTGCTTATTTATATTAGAACGAGCTGCAATTTTCAGGTAATATAGATGTGTATTGTGTTGGTGTGTTTCTACTTTTGTGCGAGTCTCTTCCTGAACTTAGGATCTTTCCTTTCTGAGCAGTGGTAGACAGCCTACTGTACCTGTCTGTAATCACACTGATCTGATATACAATCTAAAGAGGTGCAGGATCAAAAAAGCCCTGATTCATGAATCAAGTGTTTGCCTGTATTTTGGCCCTCCCTGTTTTTGACCACTGCCTTTGCTTTATCTTTATCCAGAGTGTGTGTGTTTTTTTATATACTGTTGCTGAAACTTGAGTGACTCTAATCTTGTTTATTCTTGCTTTATTCTGGATATTTCTTGCCTGTGCATGACCATGTACTGTCTATGGACCACGACTAGGTGGAATGAGGGTGTCACCATCTCTGCTTCATGTGAAAAGCTCCAAGATCTCACAGGCCCTGATTCTCAGAACACCCTGCCCCTACAGAAGAATTACATGTAAACAACATCTGCCACAGTGATGAACCAGCAA